AGAGAGAGAGAGAGAGAGAGAGAGAGAGAGAGAGGTGGGCACTTGAATGCCCGATTGCTCGCGCGCGCGAGAGAGAGAGAAAGAGATTGGTGGGCGATTGCGCGCGTGCAAGAGAGAGAGAGAGAGAGAGAGAGAGAGAGAGAGAGAGAGAGAGAGAGTGGACGACGTGGACGTCGGGACGACGGTGGCGACGCGGAGCGGAGCGCGACAACGGTGCAGCGGAGCACGACGACGACGCAGCGGAGTGGCGGACGACGGCGACGGCACGGCGGGGCGACACTAAAATTCGAACGCGCGTTCATTGCGTTTGAACGCGCTCTCATTATTTGAACGGCGTTCATTGCCTCTAAACGCGCGTTCAATTAGTGAACGCGGTTAGGGCACCCCGCGCGGCGGACGCTGCCCTGGTGCCCTTCCTCGGTGCTGCGCGCGGGCCCGGGCCCTGGGTGGCTGGGCCGTCGGTGGCCATTTTGTGGTGGGCCTTCAGGCCCTGGTGCAGGGAGGGACCTCGGCAGGCTTCGGAACTGTGTGGGACAGACCTTTGTGGGACTTGTGTGGGACAGACCTTTGCGGGACTTGTGTGGGACAGACCTTTGCGGGACTGTTTAAGAAAGACCACGGCGGACGGCCACGATGGTGCGGAGTCAGGCACGAGTGTTCGAGGACGCCAGGGAGGATGAGAACCACAAGGCACAGAAGAAGTGTTGAGTGTACAAGTACATCCGCGTGGGACAGAATCTTGGCAATAGGTTTCGCGGGAATCGCATGTTGAAGTGCGTTTTTTACGGCCACGAATTCCAGGGCAACCAATTCGTGGTGGGGTGCCATTTTCGACAGGGTAAAGGATGACCGGCAGTGACCGACGAGGCGCTTGTCGACATACACTATAACACCGAGTACAAGCTGGACGGGAAGATCCTTAAGCGGATGCATCGGTTTGAGGAGCTTCACGGTCCGGCGCCTGCGATGGATCCGCGTCGGGACGAGGGAGGGGTGGGAGAGGTGAGGGATGACGAGGACGTGATCGACGTGGACAACGCCGTGGAGGAGGGTGCGCGGGCGGGGCCTTCAGTGACGGAGCGAGGGAAGGGCGTTGTGAGCAAGCCAGGGGGGCACGTGTCGGCTCGCACAAATGTGCATGTGGGTGCGGACGAGGCGGGACCGTCTATGGGGATCCGAAGAGAAAGGAGAGAGAGGAGGGGGCACGGTCGGGAGCGCAGAAGAGGCTGAGACAAAATACGATCACGGAGTCATACTCGTCACAATGGCATATGGAGTTCAAGAAGAGGTGACTGAGGTTTGTCTACAGTCAACGTCTGGCGTTCAACATCTTCCGGAGCGAGCTGTGGTTGGACGTCGTCCGACACTTCAGGGAATTGTCGGGGCCAGTGAAGGTTTTGTGGCCTTCGAAGAATGAGATTGCGGACATAGACACAATTGTCCGCACAACGGACGATGTGGCGGCTGATCTCGCGGATGTCAGGGCTCCTTTCTATGTCACGAGGGCCACCATCATGTCAGACGGTAGGAAGTCACATGATGCTAGACCCATCGTTAACTTCCTTGTCGGCGGGTCGCGTGGGGTGATGTTGGTCCGGACAATGAACAAGGAGGGTGAGCGGGACCGGGCGCCTGATGTTTTGGCGCGCTGGATCAAGGTGTTCGATGACTTCCCTCCTAGGTGGGTGAACGTCATCTGCACCGACTCTGCCTTGGCGTACGTCGCCGCGGCGAACATGCTCCAAGGGCCTGAGCACAGCCCGGAGCATCGACAGATCACGTGGCTCCCATGCGCAGTGCATGTCTGCAACAAGATGTTGTCAGACATTGGTTGTTCGAGCTCGTGGTCCAACGACATCATCGTGCGGGGGAGAGCTCAGAGCAGTGGTGCGCTTCATTAAGGAGCACGGCGCCGCTCTTCATATCTTCAAGAGGGAGAGCACGCAGATGGGTCTTATTTATCCGTGCAAGAGACGTTTCGCATCCGTGTTCGCGATGATGGAGCGTTTGTTGGCAGTGAGGTCAGCATTGGAGAGGACGGTGGATGGCGATAGTTGGGGTATGGTCCCTTGGGATCATTCCGTTCGTCAGTTGGCTAGGTGGGTCAGGTGGCAGGTGCGACATGGCCCTTGATGGGATTCCATGGGCATCCTTGTCCGTATTATGGAGCCTGTGCATGACATGCTGTGCAGGTTGGACCGTGGAGGGCTGCACATGTCGCGGGTTGTTCAGTGGCCACAGGATGTGACCCGCGAGGTGGCACAGGAGGTTCGCGCACTTCCGGTGGATACTGCACACTTCATTGTCCAGAAGGTGTAGGCTCGGTGCGCTCACATGTTGGAGTCGGCGCACGTCGCTGCTCACCTTCTCTGTCCTAGCCGACGGAACTTGAGGTACTATGAGGGCGTAGTCAGCGACTATGACGCGAGCTTAGTGAGGGAGGCGGAGGTCTACATCTTGTCGCAGACAGGGTTCAGTTTAGCAAGCCCCGAGTACGAGACCGCATGTGCGCAAATGCGCGACTTTCACACACGGAGGGGGGGGATTGCGTGGGGGGGGAGGGACGGAGACAGAGAGGCACAAAGGTGCACCGGCGATGTGGAGACATACGAGGCCGGGTGTTGGTGGTCGAAGTGGGGACAGTGCGCCCCGCAGTTGCAGGTTATCCCTCTTCGTGTTATGTACATATGGACGTGCTCCTCTCCTGCGAAGAAGAATAGGGTCGTCCACGAGGGTGTACAGACGAAGAAGTGTAACCGGCTTGAGTTTGAGAAGGTTGCGAAGTTGGTTGAGATCTCAGCCAACGTCCGCCTTCTCTCTCATCAGGGGGCAGGCCGTGGGTTTGCGCTGTCGTGGACTGTAGATGGGTCATTGTTGGATGTGGAGGGAGGCATTGGGACTCGCCCCTCGTGGAAGGGGACAGAGGACAGCAGGACGCAGGAGGAGCTGGAGTGTCAGAGACGTTCGTGGCAGCGAGACCCGTGTGGGTCGAGAGCTCCTCCGGGTGAGGTTGCAGATGTTTTTGGGACTCGAGCTGCCACATTGCGCCCATACCCTAGAGACGATGAAAGCGATTACAAGGGTCGGGAGCAGGAGGACGAGCGGGCGGGCCCCACTACTGCCACTCCTGCTGCACAGGAGGTTGATGAGTGGAGCGACCCGGAGGACGTCCGTGGACGGAGTGGCGGGGATGACTTTTTCGGTGGGGTTAATTTGCAGGGTGAGGAGGAGTTATGGGGTTGTTATGGGAGCCCTGTTGAGCAACAGAGGCCTACGTCACCTGGCATGCGGTCTGTCGAGCGAGAGAGAGTGCATGGATCTGCACCTTCGAGGGGGGCAGAGTTGGGTTGTGGTGGCGGCGCCCCTGGCCAGCCCCCCGATGGTCGACTGCGTAGATCGGTGAAGGGCCCGAGACAGCGATTAGAGGAGATTCAGGAGAGATTAGCGGGCGGTACTTGACCGGTCCAGGGGGACGTAAGAGATAGAGAAGGGTTGATTGGTGGAGATGGTGGTGCGTTGGCGGCAGGCGAAGGCGGTGTCGGGGTTGCTGCAGTGGTTGACGGGGACGCGATTGGGACTGTTCGTGATGAGGGGATGCCGGGGGGTGGCGGAGGAGATTTCAGTGAGTTTGGTAACTTGGGTATGCCCCCAGGAGAGAGCGAGTCCCGGGGGGACATTAGTGTCGGCATGCAGGCCGTGTTGCGAGAGATCAGCGTCCTGCACCCGGAGACTTTCTCCCCTGCCATGTGCGGAGAGTTGATGCAGTCATCACCTGAGGCAGAGGGAGATGAGGACAGCACCCCTTCTGGAGAAACATCTGAAGAGAGGCTGGATAGGCTTGATAGTCGTCGGGCTTGCCTCATGGCACGAGGGGACCCCTTGACACAGGAGTTGGCCCGTCTTGCGGTTGAGGAGCGACAGAGACAGCTGGGGACATTTACGCGGGCGTCCCTTGACGTAGAGACAGTTGTCCACATGGATCCTTCGACAGGCGCTCGTGATGGGACACAGGGGGAGGCAGCTTTGGTCGAGGCGTCGAGGACTGGAGGGGATGTTGAGCAAAGCTCGCACGTAGTGACAGCTATCCACACGCATGTGTTGCCTAACCAGCCTCCTCACGACGAGCGGAGGTCCGAGGACACTTTGCATGAGGCCGCGGGCATGCCTCTGCCCACGGGTTTGGTTGAGGGTGTCGTGCACATGTCCCCGGGTTTGGAGGACGAACAGACAGGGCAGTCGGTGGGCGTTGATGATGTTCGACCATCCGCACAGGCAGAGGGGATTGGACCGACCACCAGGGGGAGGAGGACGTCACGGGGGACGTTGATGTCAGGGGGGCAGAGGCGCCAGTTCAGGTTGATCCGATGCACACATTTGGGGGGCAAGATCGTGCACAGGTCGATAGCGAGGTTATACCCAGAGAGGACGTGAGAAACAGGCATGATGGAGACAGACAGGAGACGCCGCAGACTTTGGTGGTTCGCACGGCTGTGGGGCCGGTGGTCCCACATCAGGCACAGTTTTTGGTGGATCCTAGGCGTCGTGCACATGGCGGTGGCCCGGTCGTGGAGCGACGTGTAGGTAGGGGCGCGTGCGCACCTCCGGTCCCTACTTTTGCACCGTCACGGGAGAGGCCATAGATTAGGAATGTGGCTACCCCTCGCGACAGCCTCGCATTTGGATATATGACTGCTGAGGAGTTGGAGGCTCACGGCGGGACGGATTTGACCGAGATCAACACTCGTATTTTCACGGGGCCTCCGGTGGAGGGGCGTCTGCCTCGCGTGCAGGACTTGTCTTGGGGGCCAGCTAGCCCTAGCTTACCTTCTGGAGGTTCTGTCGCAGCGCCCTCTCACGACGCAGCAGGCCCATTGTCACCCCCGAGCGTAGTTGCGGAGCACAGCAGCAGTCTTACCCCGAGGTCGGCTGCCCATAGACGGAGAGACACTACCGACCATGCGTGGGAGTTGCAGGACCCCATGTTGTTCGGTCGCACGGATCGGCCATGGAGTCAGACGAGACGGGTGACGATAACAAGTGTCGGTCGTCAGCCAGGTTTGAGAGGGTGTCAACGAGCGGGAGTCATCATGATGTTGTGGCGTCAGGGTTCGGCGGTAGAGGCGGGGACACTGGTGGCATGCCTGGCAGACGTGAGGGCGCAGGCGGTGCCGCGGCGGGCGCAGTACATCCATCGTTGACGTACGGTTTGAGAGAGGCATCGATTATTTTAGAGGAGCCAGAGGTTGTTACACGAGACAGGCAGGCCTGACACGTGCCCTTAGATCGACGCCAGGAGGGGGAGACTATGGACGACGACCCCGACGACCCTCCTGAGCCTTTCACCGGCGGACGCGGCGGGCAGCGGCATGACCACGTGGCAGTGGTCACTTACGAGGACGAGGTTCTCATCGGTCCAGGCCGGATTCGCGTGCAGATGACGATCGTTGACGGTCTACGGACTTGCATTTTTTTGCCTTTCTCGGTGTAGTTTACTTTTTTGTTCTTCATGACAGACGGAAGGTGTTGAACCGAGTAGGAGATGATTCCTTTGGTCCTTCTTACACGATCGATGTGCCTACTTATTTGCGCACGTACCCAATCTTTCATGCATCGAAGTTGTTTCCGTATGAACCACCTGAAACTTTTCCGTATCGAGAATCAATGATTCCTCGTGCAATCAATGGTGGTCACAAGGTCGATAGGATTGTCGAGCACGGTGGAAAGCGAAGAAACAGACAGTACAAAGTCCATTTTCTGTACCACCCGTTGAATGACTTTTACTGGATCGCTAAGAAAGAGTTGCTGCAGAGTGCCCCGTGAGTCGTCAGCGCATATGAACGACTGATTAGTTCCGAACAACAGCCTAAATTCACTGCTACCCTCACTCCTACGGAACATACCCGGTCTCTCTTTGCTATTTATGCTTATGATGCATTATGCAAGGACTCTGATTGAGTTACTCGCTCGAAGGGACCTCGCTCTTGAGGGGGGGGTAGTGTAATGCCCGCCATAACACAGACTGAGAACACTGCTGATTTCTGAAGTTCTGCTGATGGAATGGATGCCTTGCCAAGATTCTCGCATTCTGCTGTGTTTTCTAAGTCTGTATGTGTGTGTGGCTGTTGACTTGCGTGCCTGTCTGAGTGCTTGTCGGCATGAGTGTGTGTGTGACCCGTAAGGGTACTTGCTTGTTTGGCAGGCCCGTCGGGCCGGTACTTACCTGTGGCCATGGCATTGAGGGTTTGCAGCAGGGGAAAACACTGAAGTACCGAAGGCAGGGGCCCGCGGCACCTGGAGCAGTGGAAAAACACTCAAGTAGCAGGTAGGCCGGTACCGCACCCAGTAGCAGTAGATGTGCCGGGTACTCGAGGCCGAGCAGAAGAAGACAAAGTTGGCATTTTTAGAGGCCCAGTAGCGGTAGGCTAGGTCTAGGCCGGTACCAGTCCATCCAGTCTGAGTCTAGAGCCTGTACGGGCAATATCAGAGTCTGCAATGCTGTTTCCCTCCTAAAGGGAGGAGGTACCGGTTGCTTGGGAGGCCGAGCGGCCTGGAAGTCACCGCCCAAGAGGCAAGCAGGCCGCTATATCAAGAGGCCGAGGCAAGAGCTCGGCCTCATTCTTCAGTGTGCAAGTTTGGCGACACGCTGCTGGAGCGCTGGCTGGAGTGGCGCTGGGTACTACAGCGCTGCTGGGAGGAAGAAGCCGGGAGCTTCCACCTTGGCTATGGTGGAGCTGTACCGGTAGGAGGAGGAGGGAGAAGGGGACCAAGGAGGAGAGTGGCGGGGTACTTACCTGGCTATGGTAGACACATCTTCATCACCTTGTTAGGCGCTGCATCTGGAAGGCCCCGGTGGGGTTAGTGCCGCACCAAGGAAGCTCAGGGCAGAGTCAGGCATGGCGATTCAGTGAGCAGCGGCATAGCTGCTTGAACTGGGGCAGCGACATAGCTGCTTTGGGTTGTCCTTTGGACAGGAGGCTGAAGCCTCAGCAGTCCGCCATAGCCTCGGCCTGTATGTAGAGGAAGAGGAAGGGTGGCCATGGCTATGGTGGACCTCATGTTGTGCCTGCAGTAGAAGTGGGATTCGCACATTGATTCTGGTTCAGCCATTCAACATTATTATTATTATTTCTTGTTTGAATAAGAGGGGAGGAGATAAGGAGGAGGAGATTGGTTGGCGAGGAAGAAGAGCCTTGTCATTGGTCTATGCTGGAGTACATCATCTTCTTCTTCTTTCTTACTTCTGCTTCTTCTTCTTCTTTCCCTCTCTCTCCTCTCAAGTTCATTCATTTCTTTTTGCAATTGGACAGCATTGTACTTTCTGATGTTTGTATACTTAGAAATTGGCCAGGATCGTAACAGATTAAAAAAAAAAAAAAAAAAAAAAAAACCAACAACACAAAGAAAGATACTACAATTCCTAGAAGAGAAAGATAAGAGCTGAAACTACTCAGTGCATTCCATCTCGCGACATATAAAGCGTCTGGATTGTCCTGTTCACTTACCTTCGTAATTCATCAGCGCATGCCTATGGCCCACTCCAAATTTCCAAAAGCAATACCTATTACCTTCCAAACACTTACTGGACGGGGAGAATCTGTCTCTGTGTGGAAGTCGCATCTGCATGCCGTACACCAAGGGGAGCCAGCAAAATGGAAGTTCGACAATCAAGTTATTTTCGTAAACAGGCTCTCAGAGGACTCTAATGCAGAAGAACCTGAATTTCAGGGATTCATCCTATTCATGCAACGCCTGTTCAGTCGTCCAAGGGTCCGACAATAACCAAGTGTTTTTTTTTTTTTTTTCAAACAACTGATCAGCCGATTCATACGATTCATACAACTCGTGTTCAGCTGTCCAGCCGTGACCCCCAGGGCCTCTCACATGAGGCATATGCCACAAAAGCTTTGGGTCATTTGAGCCCGTAGATAAAAAAAGATTTATTCATACGATTCATACAACCCATGTTTTGCATTTTATTTATTTTTTCTCTAAATGAGCTGATTCAGAAATGTTTTTTTTTTAATGGGGTCACTTCCTGTTGCACAGCGCCCCCCCATTTTTTTTTTTTGCTTTTTATTTTGGAGAAAACGAGTTGTCCCCGATCCCGGACAACTCCCACCCAGGACATCCGCCCTTCGGCCAACTGGTCCCTTCAAATTCAATCTCACCCATTCCGTCCTCATACCATGACACAAATATATTTAGTTTTTTTCTGTCTAGCCTCGGGAGTGTATAGAGTACCATAAACCCAACGAACACAAGATCTTAAAGCGACACCTGGAGGGCTACTGCTTAAGATTCGAACACCCCGGAAGCCCCCCTTTCTTCCATGTGCCCCAAAAAAGCAGCTCATGGGAATGGCACCGACAGCAAACACTCTCTAAGCCTCCTCGCCAAGATACTGTGGCCAGAACTCCCAAGCATACATTCACAGAATCTCCACGCAACACGAGGAGCACTACTTAAAACACCATCATGATGGAAGTGCCACCATCTTCCGTGCGCTCCAAAAGGGCAGCTCGTGGGAGTGACACCCAAAGCGAAGAATCTCTGAGCCTCCTTGTGAAGATACTGTGACCATGACTCCGAACAAACATTCCCGCCCCGAAAATTGTGGCCACCCACAAACATGCCTTCATCAACAGACAGCCCACGCTCTACAGCAGGGCAAAGAGTTAGGCCATGTATGAATAAAGAAGACCAACAAATCATCCGACCACAAAAAAGAATAGCTCGCTAGTACGAGCCCGATCCTAGCCGCTCGAATCTGCCAAGACAGAGAGCTAGCAAGACCAGAGTGTGTGTTAGTCAACGTCCCCAACTCCTCAGATCATGACCAACCAATGGCAACCATCCATAAACAGAAAAAGTGTAAAAAAAAAAAAAAAAAAAAAAGTGTAGATGTGCAATATAATAGACCGTGCAGGTTCCCCACGTTTGTGTGAGCGCGATGTGCTGCGTATGTGGGAGTTGTGGGGTATTCTATTCCATGGAGTAGTGCCTATTCCCCCTCACATTAGGTATATGCCACAAAAATTTGGGTCATTTGAGCCCGTAGATAAAAAAGGATAAATCGCCAAAGATGTCTGTGTCAATTCAACCAAATGGCTTTATCTTTATCTTACTGGGATCCCCCCCACACACCCCGTTCCCCAAGTTCAGTATTTTATTATTCTTTTGCCTAGGCTACCAGATTCGCCCAGGTCCACTTGACTTGACCGGCCGGGCCAAAAAGATATAAATATATATATATATATATATATATATATATATCGTCACAAACAGAACTGCCCGGTAAACCGTAGGCAGAGAGAGAGAAGAGGACAACAAACGAGGGGCTGTGACAAACTGTTTCGTCGGAGTTTCACCGACTCATC